TAATTTTGAATCATGAATGGCCCACATTGTTTAGATCTGTCTCCTAAACACTCTCTCGGGCGAATTTCCTGCCACTTCGCTTAAGCAGTCGCCGCCTTTACTGCAGTTATTTCAGCTCCAGTTAATAGCTAATGATCACAGATACAATCAGATAGAATCTTATTTTAACGTGACTTGCCCCACAAGTGGCTTGAACAATATGTAGTCGAGGTCAACATCGCTCCTCGGAAAAGACGAAACATACTTTTCGTACCACTAAAACTGTTTGCTATATCATTTATATTGTTAAAAAAACAATCTGGTGTGATAAGGGAATCGCTCGAGTAGGTATACTTACTCCTAATAAACAATTATCCCTCGAAGGGCCTGTGGGGGAAAATAATAACCCTCCTTTACATGCACTCTTACAACCCCGCCATCCCGGGGTGCACTTTCTCAAATGGTCACTAAGCAAGTAAACAAGAAAAAATGCTGGCAAACCACATGTTTTGGCGATTAATTCACTTCTACACTCACTTGTTGCTGCTGCTACAACCTTCAGTGCAATGGCTTTCTATTGTTAACTTTAATAAAGATGCAAAGCCACCGACACATTGAATTTTGTGCGAATTTGATTTACCACGAATCCGGCTGAGAGGGTAAACCGGTCTGGTAGACCAGGCTACCCGCCTTAACGGATCACCCCATCTATCATGTAAACGTGATCAAATTGAAATGAGAGATTATATGGACGGGCGGGTTACCCCACCTAAGCGAGTTACCTCACCTACCTGGGATCCCCCACCTCCATGTAAACAGGCTCTAAGTTTCACGAATTTTCGTGAGGAGAAATACCCGATTTTGAAAATAAGCCTCCCCCCTTACTCACTCTGCTGTCACTCCAAGGCAAAAAAGAAAAACACACGTTACAGGCTGATAGTTGACCTTCACTAAAAATCACACAAAGAGACATTTTTCTCCTTCCTGTTACACTGGGTTACGTTAAACACTCTTTAAAATCGCTTTTTATGTACATCGAAAGAACTTCTTCAAACGTTGCATCACTGGATTCAATTCGATTGTTAAGTGTAGTGGAGTGGTAATTTTCGAAGCGGTAATCTTCTGGTAATCAATTTCATGGATGTTATCGTAGTTACTCTTTTCAGAACTGGACTTTTGGTGTAGAACTGGTGCATTGATTATTCTTTTGTTCTAATGCAATTATCGCAAATTTTGACTTATGTAATTTTAATCACTAGAAAGGATAGTTACTCAGAATCTCACGAAACTCCTTGGTTGCCCTTGGATGGTGAATATATCAAAGCCTATCTGCCATTACTATAAGTCAAGTCTCTAAAATACGCACACCTCTCTAAGACGGATACTTATAATATCAGTAAATCGCAGGCATTTGAAGAGAAGGTGCCATTTTTTAAAATCTTTTGTTTCCTCTTTGTTCACTTTTTAATTCATCGCCCGCTTAAATTGAGCTTTTTATAGACTGATTCTTTCAATTCGACTCTCTGCAAAAAGCTGCACGTGGATGTTACATTAGGAAGTTAATCTAAAAACGCGAGTGTGCTTCTTGACGAATAGGCAATAAAAAGACCGTTGTGTTATATTTTACTGCCTTCTTAAAATGTAGGGGTAATTTTTTTCAGTTTTGTTCGCCCTTTATTTCGGTGTATTTATTGTTCGCTGATAACTAGCTCTTTAAAGTTTAACTATGTACTTTCAATTCAAGTAAGCAGAACTTGTCTTTTTTTCAGCCGTCGAGGGTTCCTCCTTAACATATTAAGGTAATGGAGTGTTTAAGATTCTATCTGATTCTACCTGTGACCATTAGCTAAGAAAGTTGACAGATAAGGTGATACTTTTTTCTGATTAAAACTAATGAACTGGAGCTGAATTAACTGTAATAAAGGAGAGTGTTTAGGAGACAGATCTAAACAATGTGAGCCATACATGATTCATAATAATAATAATAATAATAATAATAATAATACAAAGGCAGTAAATTGAAGCGCGCACTTAAATGAATAAGATGATCGAGCATGAATTTTTGTGGATGATCATTTGCTAGACGGAGTCAAAACAGTTCCTTCTAACTGTTTAAAAGAAATCTTTATTATGTATATGTTGTAGTTAATTTTTTATCCCAGGTAATTTTTGTTTTTCCTTTGTTTCAACTTCATTGGCATACATTACCATACCCAAGAACAAAAGCAAAACAAAAATTACCTAGGATAAAAAATTAACTACAACATATACCCCGTGTCAAGAGAGAATGATCTAGCTCATTCTCTCTTGTCCGTGTGTATAGTGAAACCAGGGTCAAAATAATAAACACTTACGGATACACATACGGATTATCCAGCTTTGTGGTCCTTAAGATCTTAAAAAACGAAACAGAGAACATAGAAATTCATGGGTTGCATCATTTACTTACCAAAAGAATCTATCTACATGATTAGCGTTCCTCTCTGTTAGTTCCATAGCTCGATTACACTGGGCACAATTGAGAGGGTCCGCAAGCAGATAACGCCTTTGAAGCCATTGGATTAATTCTGTCCGTGGACCTCTTTCTAAATCGATGAGTTCGTTTAAATTCATCTCTTGTTAGAAAAACTCGTAAACTCAAGGGAGGCCTTCGACGTGTACGCAACGTAATCGATGAATAATGAATATTTAGATTACTGTGAGAGCGGCGGTGCTACTCTTTAATTTATATTCAGTATATTTCCCTGGGGATCTTTTGTAGGTCGGCAAGAAAAAGTTTGTTTTCCGTAAAACATTTTAACAATGAAAACAATGAAAACGTATAAAATATACGCAATTAGACTAGCTTGAAAAGGGCGTAATTTTTTTGGAATTCCACAGTCATACTGAACAACTTAAGTCGGCCTTGTTACATCTTTCGATTCGTGCAGCGAAATTCGCCGTTACTTTCCTTTGAAATCACGGCATCTCTCTAAAAATCCAAGCCGCGCTCAAACTACACAAACGGATCAGTCTTGTTACCTCAGTTTTGTATCTCTGATAAACCAATGAAACGGAAATCAATAGCTAGTGAAATGGTATTCCTATTAAAATACCGTAAAATGCCGAAATTTCGAGGGGCTTATGTACGGAGGGAAATTGGCCTTTAAAAATTGGTTGGCCTAGCCTTATTCTTGGAAGAAAAGTTACTGTTTTTCTTTGTTTTACTTTGTTGATGAGTCGAGCTTTAAAAAAAAAAAAAAAAAGGAAATTTTTAAGGGGGTGGGTGGGTGGACGGGAGGGGAGGGGTTGAATGAAAAACCAAAGAAAGGAATACATATCCTAACCGGGCCCGGTTCCGGGGCCGGGTTGTAGGGGTCGACCATGAAAAATACGAAAGTTACCGGGGTCCGACTAACTAACGAAATAAAGCCGGGCCCGATGGATCATCACATCGGGATGTATAAGGCGGGTCCGGAACTTAAAATTGATGACGGGTTCGGTATTGAAGCAGGGTCCAGTTTCTAGAAAAGATGAAGGGGTAGGTTAATGTGGTCTGTTTACCGGGTACGGGTTTGATGACTAAATAACGGGCTCGTTGGACACAAAGTTTTGGGGGTATGAAAGATACCGGGTCCGTTTTATTAATGTCGTGTCCTATCTAATAAAACGGGTACGGTTATAAGAAACCGGGCTCGGTTGCCCAGAAACATAAATTGATCCCTAGCATGATAAAACTATCAGTTAGTGAAACAAAATGGAGTAGTTTGCTAGCCAGGACCCGCGCTCTTATTCTTTATATTTCGATTTGAATATTTGATTTCGCGCCCGAAAAGTTACCGGGACTTTCGAGAAACGGGCCCCAGGGATCAAAATTTAAGGTCGAAATGTAGGATCAGGTGGGAGAAAATATACCCCGTTACGACCCTGCTCTGATGCAAGCGCATTTTCTTTGACCTTTTTTGAAGCGGAAAGCTTTTTGTTACGGCTGAACAAGGGTTCCAATTTCCTCAAAAGTGCCTATTGGATCTGAATAACTAAGCGATTTTCTTTAGTCCGTGAATGTAATGTTTTTCTTCAATGCTGTATCACGCTGGGCCCAGCTTGTTAGTTTTGTTTGAGAATGTTAAATTATTACGGATAGTGATTTACGGGTCGTGTGTACTCTTGCAATAAAAAGTGACACTGAGTAGAGCGGACGTACAAGGCAACTGTAATATCATCACGACTGTGCCATTCTTCGGTGGTCCAACTATATCACTTCTTGGGTCTTTGGCTGTGCGTTTTGCGACTACTGGGAAGCCTTCGCACAAGCAAAACCTGCTTAAGACATCGAAGACTGTTGAAACGTACAACAAATGCCCAGTCTTGAAAGATCTCCACTTCTATTAAAACTCTGTTGCTTTCGCATAGATCTCTGAGAACTTTAAAACTCTCTCCGCAGCTGATGTTTTGATTCTCGAATTAGCAGCGGTCTGTTGCTTTTGCGTTTCCGGTCTCATTCACTTCCGTCACCGAGTGATGCGGTTCACAGCGAACGAAGTCACGTGGTACAAGTTTCCTCCCTTGTCCTTTCTTTTACTCGGCACTTCGTGCCTCGGTCGCCCTTCGGGCGACGTGCCGTGCACCAGCGAGGATATGGCTTGCAGTTATTGATTTTCAAAAGTCGATCTGGGTCAGATAAGAAGCGAAGAAATCGGTTACAGTAGATTTATAAAGATCCCATCGGGCTAATTAATCGTACTAAGCGACAGGTATAGACATTTTTCAAGGTAAGTAATTCATTTATTCACAAGGAACTCCTCTGGACCCTGTGAATGCACTTACAGTCCCAGATTTTTGTTGGTTTTAACAAGCCTGATTCAAGATATGAACAAAAGGGAGAAGACAATGTATATAATGTATAAGAAAGTCGAAACAATCTATCAACAAAATAATGATCTGTTGCAGAATACTATTTTAAGACAAAGTAGCTTAAAATATCTCTAGCTATCCTATAAATATTTATTTAATTTTCGCTTGAACGTTTATCTTTTTCCAGAAGAACTTTGACATCGTCATGGTCGAAGTGCAGGAGGCGCTTGTCTTTGGCTATCTTGTTGCTACTTTCCTTCTTAACTCTAGTCGTATTCGTAAAGGTATCCATAGCGATATTCAAAGAATTCTTGATTCTCCTCAAAGACAAAGCTTTAAAAGGGGAAACGGAACTGGTTAAATTAATGTACGAAATTCTATATCTCCAAATGTTTCAAGGGTACCTTTCAGTCAATGATTTTGCAAATGCTGTGGAATGCGGTAGAGAGCTTTTGGTCTTTGATAACGAAACTGGGGACAGAAATCAAGAAGGGATGTTGTACTTTAAATTGGGGAAATTGCACTATCTCAACTGTAAATATCAAGAAGCAAAATCGTTCTTTGAAAAGGCAGGGAATATCAACATAGCAACTGGATCAACAGTAAGTGAGGGATCATGCTACCTCAACTTAGGAGCTGTTCTAAATTCCCTTAGTGAGAATATCGAGGCTAAAGAATGTCTCGAAAAGGCACTTGCAATAGCTAAAAAGCTTAACAATGGACGAGGAGAATCCCTGTGCTATGGAAGCCTGGGAAATGTATTCAACTGTCTCGGTGAATATGCCAAGGCTAAAAAATATTACGAAAAAGCGCTTGCACTTCGACAGAAAATTGGATTCAAGGAAAACGAAGCTCTCTGTTACGCAAACCTAGGATCTATGTGTAATATTCTTGGTCAACATGACAATGCTAAAGAACATCTCCAAAAGTGGTGACAGGAAGAGTCAAGCCTTTTGTTTCAAAAACCTCGGAAATTTGTTGAAGTCTCATGACAATGCCAAAGCTAAAGAATATTATAAAAAGGCGCCTGCAATCACAAACGATATTGGCGACAAGTCGACATAAACGAAGCCTCGTGTTATCTAGCCTGGCCTGGGAACTGTGTTATATGATCTCAGTGAACTGGCAAAATCTAAAGAATGTACCGAAAAAGCCCTTGCAACGGCAAAGGACATTGGCAACAGGGAAATAGAAGTCTCCTGTTCCGGAAACTTAGGAACTGTTTCTCAGACCCTCGCGGTGAATATGCAAAGCTAAAGACTACTTCGAAAAAGCGCTTGCAATTGCAAAAGAAACTGGTTACAAGAAAACCGAGGCTACATCTTCGTTATCTCTAGGAATATTGCTTAAAAGTCTCGGTGACTACTCCAAGAGTGAAAAGCATTTAGAGAAAGCACTTCGTATGACCAAAAAAAATAGGCGAAAGGAATGAAGTAGCGTTATTAGAAGGTTAACTCGGAAATCTGTCTTCGTATGCCAGTGAAAAGGTTCAAGAACGTTACGAAAACTAAGTCAAGATCGCATGCAAAAGAAAGTGGTAGCGGGAATATTATAGCGTCAGGTTATCTAAACTAACCTAGGAGAGTTGACATGTGGACTTGGAGACTATGACAAGGCTAAAGAGTATCTCGAACAAGCAGTTTTGATAACTGAACAAATTGGTGACATAAATGGAGTGGTCGCTTCGTGCAGAATGCTTGGAACCGCGCTTCATTTTCTTGATGATTACTCAAAGGCTAGAGAATATCACAAGAAAGCTGCATCAGTCAAGAGATTGGAGACATTTCAATGGAAATAGGTGTCGTTTCTGAAATCGGAATGACACTAGTGTTTGAGGGAAAAATAGAGGAAGCTAGCCACTATCTTTTGGCTAGTAATATTGCTAAGTTCGAGAATGTAAGAAGTTCCCTTAAAGGTAACATCGAAAGTCAGTTAAAGATATCGTTATTTGACCAGCATGTTCTTGAATACTGCGTTCCAAGTGCCTTGTTTTGCAGTATAAATAATTGTGTCAAAGGTCTTCACGTTGTTGACCTTGGACGAGCCAGAGCCCTAGCAGATTCAATGTCATGCAGCTCAGTGCTCCGTAAAAAACGAAGTATATGCTAATGACCTTTTTTGGGGTGCTATTGAAAGGCGTATGAACATTGAAAATAACTGTTCCTTCCGCGTAGAGGTCCCTTTTACTATAACAGAAATTAAAAAACTGAGATTTTGAATCGGTTTGTTACGTAAGTTTTTTCTCAAACGCATCAAGCTCGGTGAATATACATTCCAACAGGGTAGACACAACAACTATAAAGGAAACAAAATCACTTCGTTAACCTTTGCTGCTATGATTCCGAGACATGCAGACTCGGGCTACGATCGTGGTATTTTTTTGAGAAGGTAGGAGACTTGCTTCAAAGATGTTCATGAGCATCCATGAGCCATTTTGGGTGTCAGCCCCAGGGTCGACCAGAGTTTAACTTGGGTATACAGTATATTAGGTTGTAAGGTGTACAGTGTCTTTCAGATCTTTCGGCTGGAATAAATAATAACTTCGTGTAAACCCTTCGTTCTGTTTTGAGTATACTCAATTTGATTCTAGAAAATTAGGAGTCAATTCAATAGACCTTTCCCGTATTTCTGTAAGCCTGGATGGACAAAATACAGTAAAATTGTCAACCCTAACCTCGACCTTATTTCGTTATGTTTGTTCACTGGATTGGAATGCGCTGAAGGTCTATTGCACGCTGCGCTTGCATTTCTTTGGTCAAACCCGGCAAATCTTTTGAGTTTTCTTTGTTTCCTTAAAATTCATTAAACCCTCCTTAATGAAACATTTACAAGATATTAAGATTTATTTCTTGAAAAAAAAAACAAAAACAAATGAAGAAAAACAAACAAACAAAGAGCTGGTCGAGTGAACAAAATCATCACGTCATAATACCTAAAGCAATCCCAATGCGGAAGCAGTGATAAAGAGAAGGGGGTACAATGAGCGTACCGTCGGATCTTGCCTAGTCCCTGTGCGACGTCTTCCCAGGCCTTCTCGGTCAATGCATTTCACCGGGTGACGTCTTAAAAACTCTCTCGGACCACGTGACCCCGAAACGCATCGACTGCGCGCAATAATGAGGCCTAGGACTTAGGCAACGTCTTACCCAGGTTTGTCGGTCAGTAGATGACTATTTCGAGCTACTGAAGTTGAATAATTCGGATTCAAAACGATCCTTTTTTTACTTCTTCACACTCTATACCATTTAAACGTCCAACGTAGACTGAATCATCACTTCTCCAAATTTGTAGTAGACACTGATATTCCGTCTAGATAAGTCATCCATTTATAGAGGAAAATTCAACTGATTGGAGAGACGAGACAAATTTAGAGAAAAACTATCCGAGAAGATTAGGCACTAATCAGAAAATGGTATTTCTGACAGTGTAGTAAAATGGAACAGACAGAAAGCTATTCTGCCGGCACGGACTAGAGGACTGGGCCGGCTAGGAGGAATTGTGGGTAGCTTTCCGAGATTTGTACGTAGCCTGTGTACAGACGTCCCCACTCCCTCAGGAAAAATCGAGAGAGGTCTCCTCTCCCGATTTTTCTTGAGGGAGGGGGACGCCTGTACACAGGCTAATTTTTAGGTCGCAAATTTGAATCAGTTTAGGTCAGCATTCGTTAGAGCTCCAAACTTTTATTTTGTTCATCAATTTTGTGAATTTTTTTTTGTAGGCATTTGGCAGTCGTTAGGTTTGCGTACCTCTGCTTCAGAGTTGTCGGCACCGCATCTGATTTCAGCAGGTCGGGTAATACGTTCCTCCACAAAGTGGTTTTGTTTTTCGTATCTGGCGGTGTCGTACCTGTTTTTTTTAGAGGTGTATTTTTCGTCATAGAGTGTTTTGCAATTAAGTGCGGTCTTGTAATCTTAATTACAGTTTAACTACAAATTAAATTATAAATTGTTTTTGTAATTTTGCAATAAACTGGCTTTTAGATCCATGCTGACCTGCAGGCCCCTATATCTACTCTTGTGTGGGTGTCTTTCTGGGTAATGAAGGCAAAATCGTAATTACTTCGGTCAAGAGCCATTGCTTCGGTGTCCTGTGCTAGCCAAACAGATCTCTACCCTCCGTCACTTCACCGTCTCAAATTGTCATTCGGCCTCTTATTCACCTGTGACGCAAAAAAGAGCCTGTAGACTTGTTATTCGAAGCCAGTCTTTAAGTTGTCGTTCTTGAAAATATATACGTCCGACATGAGTGGGTAGTATCTGATTCGTAAACTCGCCTGCGTTACAGACCGCGAATTTTATTGAGGCGGCTCGCACCTCTTGTAACAAATCCTAGCAGTATTGGCTGAGAAAACCATGAAACAGACAAAATTAAACAAAGAATGAACCCTAACCCTGAAAAAATAGCAGTGCAAGCTATGTATGGTTCATGAAAAGCCAGTAAAATAAGAGGTTACTGAGAGGTGCGTGGCTACTGACTTTATCCCTATACACTTGCGTTTAATAAATATGAGTCAGTTGTACCAAAAGCCGCGACTGACTTTCAAGTGTTTGAGTCTACTAGTAATTTTGTCAAATATAGAGCCCAGATGTTATTTACAACATCATTTGCTGTAAATGTTATCTTTTTTTGTCGCTTAAACAATTGTTTGATTTTGATAAAAATCCTTCAGTTTTACTGAATTTAAAAGTAAAAGCACTTCTCAAGCAAACAGTGGTACTCATCCGTATAATCAAACTTAGCCAAAAGAAATTGCTGTTTTCCCGGAATTTGAGGAAGTCTAATTAAAAATTTATTTCAATTTCTTCTCATATTGAAAAGTGCTGTAAATGTTATCTTTTTTTGTCGCTTAAACATTTGTTTGATTTTGATAAAATCCTGCAGTTTTTCTTTTTGCAAAGTAAAAGCACTCCTCATGCAAACAGTGTTACTCATCCGTATAATCAAAGTTAGCCAAAAGAAATTGCTGTTTTCCTGGAATTTGGGGAAGGCTTATTAAAAATTGATTTCAATTTCTTCTCCTATTGGAAAGTGAAAGACGTTGATGGTTAGTCGGTTATTCAAGCGAAGTCTATAACATCGGGTGCTGTTTAAGAAAACGTTGGACCTTCAGATTTCTTTCCTGGTGGGTTAAACTAAAAAAATAAGTGCTGTTTTAGTCAAAGCAAAATGCCTTATTGAAATTTTTCACATGGACTTTAAGAGTCAACGACGCGGACGGCAACGAGAATGTCAAAAAAAAAAAAAAACAAAGGGTTTGATTAACCAAACAACAACTTCGCACGTGCAACACACTTTTTTGAACATTTCTTTCCCGTTTTTGCACGAGTACGACGTGAAAATGCCTAATTTTGCGTTTTATGGAGGACGTAAATAAGCAACGACGAAATTTTATTTCTTTTTCTGAGCTTGAATATGGTCCCTTGAAATTCAGCTGCAGGAGGGTTCGCCTACATTTGACAAAGTAAGTGGTTAGGAATAATCGCTATAAAGACTGAAAGAAAGCAAATTCACTTTTCAAGCGACGTTCTCGTCGCCGTCGGGTCGTTGGATCTTAAAGTCCCTAATGGCTCAGAACGCGGCCGTGTGTTAAATACTCTGTTTGAATAATCGGCTCTAACAGTTCCCTAATTAATAAGTAAATTTAACTTACTCGCTAGCCGCTAGTTCGGCAAAAGCGCGGCAGAAACACAGCGTTTGAATCAGTGTTTTGAATTCGGTTTGACGTAGCAATTAAGTTCGACGAGCTCTGCCATGCACTACGACACTGGCACAGCAGCGATTCAAACGAAGTATTATAATATGCCGGCCGTGTCGAACTTGACAGCTTTATAAATTTCGGAATTATATTTTTGGCGGGATTTGTGGTGTGGCCAAACTTTTTAGTTCTATTTAATACCATTGACTCAACTTAACACAGTCAAACCCCGTTAATACGGATAATAAGGAAGCCATACATGATCAGGAGTGTCCGTTATTTAAATCAAAAATACTCCTCACCTACTTGAACAAAATACAAAAGAAATAAAACAGGACATCAGTATCGTCAAATCATATAGCTAGTGGAAAAGACTGGTTATGAGAACCGGTAAACGTCAGACTTTAAAACAACGGTGCTGTAGTTTATGTTGGAAGCTTCCTAACCGTGCACAATCCTTTGTTTTTTGTTCACAAATTGTGACTGAATAAATTAATGCGATGTTGGTCAGTAAGTTCAAAATGATAGAAATGCTATTGAACGTTGTGCGCTGTCAGGTCCAAAAAAGCAAACAAAAACATGCAACTAAAGAGTCTAATGGGTTTCATAACCATTCCACTTAAATAACTAGCTCCCTTGATACGTTTGAAGCCAAGGCCCGGGCCACTCGATCGTGGTAATGTACGAGAATATTGGAGACCTTCTTTCAAAGGTGCTCATTAGGGATTCAGACGTAGTATTGTTTTGCCGTGTCGAACTTAACAATTTCATTTATTTCGGAACTATATTTTTCGCGAAATTTGTGGTATGGCCAAACTTTTTGTTCCATTTAATATCACTGACTCGACTTAACTGTTAAACCCCGTTAATACGGATCATAAGGAAGTCATACATGAGTGTCCGTATTAACGGAGTGTCTGTATTAAGCGCGGGTTGAATTCCGAGAAAATGTAAGTGCTTTAACAAGGGAATTAGAAACCTGTCCGTGAATGGTGGGTGTATTAGTAACGTAATCTGAATTGAAGTGGTGCTTCTGTCGTGATTCTGTAGAGCTGAGCTCACTCAAGTAAGTGCGAACATCCACAAGTTTTCTTGGACAGAAG